ACTGTTAAGTATTTGATATCACCTATCTTCATTCTCTGCACTCGCTTTATTCGTAAATCACTTCGTTTTTTTCTAAGGATCTAGCAAGGGGGCTTCAGGCTATGCTCGAATTTGATGGTACGGATGAGGAATTCGAAGAGATCTTCTCGATGTCCTTTGTTATAACCTATAAAGATATGTTTGGTGAAGCCATTGTCCAAGAACTTTTGGAGAATGGATCGAGGATTTCCGTTACTAAATGGAATCGTAAGGTGTGTGCGTATCTCAAAAACTTATCACTTCTTGCATATTGAGGCCCGTTCGAATTGTTTTCTCTTTAATATTATTTTCAGCAATTTGTGGATTACTATGCTGACTTTTTGTTGAACAAATCTGTGAAAAAACAGTTTTCGGCTTTTCGTCGTGGTTTTCAAATGGTTGTTGATGAAAGTCCGCTGACATTCCTTTTTAGGCCGGATGAACTTGAGCTTCTTGTCCGTGGGAGCCAGGTAGGATTTTGCTTTTACTTTGATGCTTCTTATGTTATATATTTTCGAGGTCCTCTTACATCTCAAAATGCTAAAAGCAAATAATAATTTGGTGTTATTTTTTCAGGAATACGATTTCCTCGAGCTTGAAAGAGTTACTACTTACGAAGGTGACTATTCTGCGTCCTCTCCTGTAATTCAAAATTTTTGGTCAGTACTTCATGAAATGGATAGAGAACAACAGAAGCAACTTTTGCAATTTGCTACTGGCTCAGACCGGATTCCCCTGGGTGGTATGGCTAAAATGCGTTTCGTAATTGCTAAACAGGGTCCTGATTCAGACCGGTAATATTTTCCCCTGACTACTATCATTTTTTTGTCACAAAAATTTCTTTATGGAGGACCTTGAGGACGTTTAACGAGCTTGATTTTATTTTATTGATTTCTTCCATTTAGATACTTTAAGGTCCATTTAGATTCTTTTGTCAGCCGTGTCCTACTATAGACAATGAATGGAATTGCAATTTCGCATTACGAAACTATTAAGTTATGGTTATTTTACTAAGCTAACGCTTGTTATGGCACAATCTTACTGCCATAAGGGTGAGTAGGCTTATTTAAAAGTGGGCTGACCTCGTTTTTGCAACTTGGCCCTGTCAGGGTGACTTATTTGGACGCACCTTATTTTCTATGGCAGTTATCATAATCCCCAGCGTCAGACTGTGGACTTGGTACATTCTTGGAAGTTTTGCTGTCATCGTAATCGGCATCATCAGTGAGTCTTATCATACTTGGCATCAAGCAACAACTCGCCAACGAGACAAGGGAGGTCAAACCCTTGATCAAAATTCCTGCCGAAGCGGTTATGCTATCACTCCTTCCTTTATAATGGCTCATCTATCTATTCTTTCCCCTCTTATCTCACTCCTGCCCCATCACAACTTCTGACTTTTTTACATTCCACTTGTCAGGTATACCCTTTTTGGCAAGTCTGGTGTGGCTTCACCTGTTATTCACCTCCAATCAGAATCTCCCTCATAGTCCCATAGATCCATTTCTTATCTTGTTGGCCGATCATACACTGTTCCGGTTCCAGTGGGCGTTTTACTCCAGACCCTATATCCCAAACCCTTAGAAGCACGCACTTTGCCGCCTCACCGAGTAAAGCGTCTAGGCTCTCATTCCCATGCTTGCAGATATTAGGTATTGCCTTCACAGATCATCTCCTTGATTAAATCCATGTAACCTGTGCAAACTATGGACGCTTATCCCCGGTCGCCTGCTGCATATCGAGCGGATTTCTAGTACATTTGGGCAATAATGCCGAGTTTCTTTTACTGTTATGTTCATTCATCGCCCTAGTTCTGCGATCGCCAGGCCCTCAAAATTGAAGTTGTTTCTTTAATGGAATTCACTCACTGAGAATGTCTTTGCTTGATTTCTGAAATTCCCCATCCCATCCCTCCTCGCGATCTCTTTTCCTCTAACTATAGGTCCTTGATCCTTACGTCTCCTTTTGCTTATCTTGTCATATACATGTTTTCCTCCAGTTTCATTAAGCACTAGGCAAAGTCATCACTGACTCTGGCTTCTTCCAATCCCTGTTCATTAAATTTCTTTCTACAAGCTTATTTAAAATCTTTAGCATCGCTCCAAGCGTAGTGAGACGTCTACGCCTTACTCCTTTATACAAAAATGTTCATGGATACATGCTTTTCTATTTGCACTATTGTTTCTTATATATTTGAAGTTATCCAACATAATTTAAATGAGTAGTAGGATTTGTCCTGAGTTCGATAGGAATACTAGAAGACGAAGGAGTGAGTGATTCAAGATTTATTGTGATTAGGTGTACACTGCTAGATGTCTGTGATGCTTATGACGTTAACGTGTGTTCAGATGATGAAGGAGTACGAGAAGAAGAGAGGGCTGGGACAGAGCAACTGGTGCAGTTTGTTGGAATAGTGAGACTCGAATGACTGAATGCTACGTAGACCCAGGGCAGATATCGTGTTGGGGGTGCTGAGGGAAGGGACGGAATATGTAGGCGTAGCCACATTTACTGCGACGTTATCGGCGGGCTCAGTTGGTGATACGATGCTGATACGGTGAGAGGCCTCAGGTAATAATACCAGCATCGATACCTCACGCATGATAATATGAAGCAATCAACTGATGTAAAAGTGAGCTCCCCGCGATAGTGAGAATGATCGCCATAAGGAAGATGGGTCAATGTAGCAGTCCTTCCAGCTGTCAGTTCTCGCCTATAACTTGTGCTATATGGAAGTTGTTTCGCTTTAATGCAAATGATCACATTTGCAAAGGTAAACATGTTTGATCGAAGATATGAAGACCAAGATGGCGTGGCTTTTTGTGTGGTCGAAATCTCCTTTCGTTGTATAGAAGTTGTTTGACCTTGTTTTCACAACTTGGTCATAATTGTAGGAAGACTTATAGAAACGCACCTTGTCCTGAGTCCATTGTATGCATAATTATTTCCAAAGTCGGACCCGGTAATTCCCAGACTTTTCGCCGGCATCGTCAGTGAGTTTTACCATTCGTAGCACCATATTAC